CATTATGTAATGTCCTTCTTTGTCTCTTTTGAACTTTCTTCGTTTAAAGTCTATTTTATCAGACATGAGAATTACAACTCCTGCTTATTTTTGCTCTCCATTTGCTTGGTAAATCTTCCTCCATCCCTTTATTTTGAGCCTTTGTGTATCCTTGCATGTGAGATGGGTTTCCTGGATACAACACACCAATGAGTTTTGGCTTTTTATCCAATTTGCCAGTCTGTGTCTTTTTATGGGGGCATTTAACCCATTTACATTTAGGGTTAATATTGTTATGTGTGGATTTGATATGGTCATTTTCATGCTAGCTCTCTGTTTTGCCTATTAATTGATGCAGTTTCTTCATTGTGTTTATCCTCTTTACCATTTGGCATGTTTTTGGAGTGGCTGGTACTGGTTGTTCCTTTCTAGGTGTAGAGCCCCATTCAGGAGCTCTTGTAAAGCAGGCCTGGTGGTGTTGAAATCTCTGAGTAGTTACTTGTTTGTCAATGATTTTATTTTTCCTTCACTTATGAAGCTTATTTTGGGTGGATATGAAATTCTGGGTTGAAAATTCTTTTCTTTAAGGATGTTGCATATTGGCCCCCACTCTATTCTGGCTTGTAGGGTTTCTGCTGAGAGATCTGCTGTGAGTCTGATGGGCTTTGCTTTGTGGGTAACCCAACCTTTCTCTCTGGCTCCCCTTAGCGTTTTCTCCTTCATTACAACCCTGGTAAATCTGAAGATCATGTGCCTTGGTGTTGCTCTTCTTAAGGAATATCTTTGTGGTGTTCTCTGTATTTCCTGGACTTGAATGTTTGCCTGCCTTGCTAGGTTGGGGAAGTTTTCCTGGATAATATCCTGAAGAGTATTTTCCAGCTTGGATTCATTCTCTCCAACACATTCTGTTAGACTTATCAAATGTAGATTAGGTCTTTTCTCATAGTCCTACATTTCTTGGAAACTTTGTTCATTCCTTTTTACCCTTTTTCCTCTAATCTTGCCTTCTCATTTTATTTCATTGAGTTGACCTTAACCTCTGATAGCCTTTCTTCTTCTTGGTCAATTCAGCTGTTGAAAGTTGTGTATACTTCTCCTAGTTCTTGTGTTGTGTTTTTCAGCTCCATCAATTCACTTATATTCCTCTCTAAGTTGTTTATTCTCGTTAGCATTTCGTCAAATCTTTTTTTGAGGTTCTTAGTTTCTTTGCATTGAGTTAGAACATGTTCTTTTAGCTCACACAAGTTTCTTTATTTTATTTTATTTTATTTTTTATTGCATTTTAGATTTGGGGGTACATGTGAAAAACATGCAAGATTGTTGCATGGGTGCACACATGTCAGTGTGATTTGCTTCCTTCCTTCCCTTCATCTATATCTGGCATTTCTCCCCATGCTGTCTCTCCCCACCTCCCAACTCCCTCATCCCTTCCCCATTTCCCCCCAACAGACTCCAGTGTGTAGTGCTCCCCTCCCTGTGTCCATGTGTTCTCATTGTTCAACACCCACCTATGAGTGAGAATATGTGGTGTTGGATTTTCTGCTCTTGTGTCAGTCTGCTGAGAATTATCGTTTCCAGGTTCATCCATGTCCCTAAAAAGGACATGAACTCATCATTTTTGATGGTTGCATAATATTCCATGGTGTATATGTATCACATTTTCCCTGTCCAGTCTATCATCGATCGGCATCTAGGTTGGTTCCAGGTCTTTGCTATTGTAAACAGTGCTGCAATCAACATTCATGTGCATGTGTCCTTATAGTAGAATGATTTATAATCCTTTGGATATATACCCAGTAATGAGATTGCTGTGTCAAATGGAATTTCTATTTCTAGGTCCTTAAGGAATCACCACACTGTCTTCCACAATGGTTGAGCTAATTTACACTCCCACCAACAGGGTAAAAGTGTTCCTATTTCTCCACATCCTTTCCAGCATCTGTTGTCTCCAGATTTTTTAATGATCACCATTCTAACTGGCGAGCTCACACATTTCTCATTACCCACCTTTTGAAGCCTCATTCCATCAATTCATCACACTCATTCTCCATCCAGCCTTGTTTTCTTGCTGGTGAGGAGTTGTGATCCCTTGACGCAGGAGAGGCGTTCTGGTTTTGGGTGTTTTCATCATTTTGCGCTGGTTTCTTCCCATATTTGTGGATTTATCCACCTGTCGTCTTTGTAGTTTTTGAATTTCAGATTGAGTCTCTGAGTGGACATCAAGGTTGTTGATGATGAAGTTGTTTCTTTTGGTTTCTTAGTTTTCCTACTACCAGTCAGGCTCCTGTGCCATAGGACTTCTGACGTCCACTCCAGGCCCTGCTTTCCTGGGGATCACCTGCAGGGTTGCAGAACAGCAAGGGTTGCTGCCAGTTTCTTCTTCTGCTTTCTTTGTCCCAGAAGGATACCCGCCTGATATCAGTTTGAGCTCTCCTTTATGAAGTGTCTCTTTGGATTTACTGTGGTCAGGGAGCTGCTTGATGAAACAGTCTGTCCTTTACAGGAACTCAAGTGCTGAGCTGTGAGCTCCATTGTTCATTCAGAACTGCTTGGCAGGTATGTTTAAGTCTGCTGCGACAGAACTCATAAACCCCCTTATTTTGTTCTCCCAGGTGCTCTGTCCCAGGGAGTTAGGGCTTTATTCATGAGTTTTTGTTGTGCTGCTGCCTTTCTTCAGGGCTGCCCTGCCCAGCGAGGAGGCAGCCTAGTCAGTGTCTGCATGCAGAGGCTTTGCTGAGCTGCTGTGGGCCCTGCGCAGCTGCTGCGTGAACTTCCCTGCAGTCCTGTTTATACGTGTATAGTTAGAACTGCCTTGGCAATTGCGGCCCACCTATGTAATGGCGGACTCGCTCTGTAATGGCGGGCTGCCTCAGCAATGGTGGACTACCTCCCTAGTGGTGGAGTGCCTCGATAATGGCGGACGCCCCTCTCCCACAGAGCTGCGCCATCCCAGGTCCAGCTGTGCTTACTGTGAAGCTCTCAATCCAGAGTGTTTCAGATTGCTGTTTTTTTGTTGGGGTGGGACCATCCGAGCCTGATCACCTGGCTCCCTGCCTTAGAGCCTTTTTTACGTTGGTGTTCCAGTCGCCTGTTGAAGAGGCGCCAGGGTCTGTTTGTTTTCCCCTGCGGCCACTCACTGTGCCTGCACCACTGAAACAACTGCAGCGAGATTCCTGGTCCTTTTTTGCCCGGGAATCTCTCCTTCTGGTTCCCTTTTTCAGTCCCCTTTTCGATCAGTTGAATGGGCGATTCTTTCTTCCCAGAACTCCAATTCCCAGCTTAAACAGTGCCCGACCCATGTATTTTGTATGGAGAATGCCATGCTGGGGTGCCAGCCAAGACAGCCACACTGGCCGAAACAGTTGAGCTGTCTAAAACAGCTGCACTGGTTGAAACAGCTGCACTGGCAACCCGTGGGTCTCCTCTGTCTGGGAATCTCCTGGTCTGTGTGCAATAAAAATCCGTCTGGAAATGCGGTGTCCACTCACCCTACATGCTTTCACTGGGAGCTGCAATCCAGAGCTACTCCTAATCAGCCATCGTGGATCCATCCTCCCATGTGTCTATTTTTATACCAATACCATGCTGCTGTAATTTCTGTAGCTTTATAGTATAATTTGAAGTAGGTAATGTGATGCAGGCAACTTATTTCCTTTTGCTTAGGATTGCTTTGGCTCCACAAACTCTTTTGTGATTTCATATGAATTTTATCATTGTTTTCTAATTCTGAAAAATTACATTGGTATTTTGACAAGAATTGCATTGAATCCGTAGATTGCTTTTGACAATATGAACATTTTAATGATATTCATTCTTCTGTTTCATGACCATATGATGTTTTTCAATTTATTTGTGTCATCTCCAATTACTTTAATCAGTGTTTGATAGTTTTATTTATAGATATTTTTCACCTCTTTTGTTAAATGCATTCCTAGGTATTTTATTTTTGTAGCTATTGTAAGTGGTAACAAACTGACTACTTTATTTGGTTCTAAGCTTGATTATTATTAGTTAATAGAAATGCTACTCATTTTTTTACATTGATTTTGTGTTCCAATATTTTACTGATTTCATTAATCAAATTTAAGAATCCTTTGGGTGGAGCCTTTAGAATTTTCTCTATATAAGGTCATATAATCAGCAAACAGACATAATTTGACTTCTTTTTAAATTCAGATGTCTTTTATTTATTTCTCTTGCCTGATTGCCCTGGGTACAACTACCAGTATTACTTTAAAAAGGAGTAGTTAAAGTGGGCTTTTCTGTCTTCTTTCAGTTCTTAGAAGGAATACTTTCAACTTTTCCCCATTCAATATAAGATTTGCTATGGGCTTGTTATATGTATTTTTTATAACTTTGAGGTATGTTTCCTCTATGACTAGTTTTAAAGGGTTTTTGTAATGAAGTCATGCTAAATTCTATTAATGATTTTCTGTACCTATGAAGATGATCATCTAGATTTTGCTTTTAATTCTGTTTATGTGGTGAATTATTTTTATTGATTTGTGTATGTTGAATCATCCTTTCATCCCTAGGATAAAAGCAACTTGATCATGACGTATTATCTTTTTGATGTGGTGTTGGATTCAGTTAGTTAAAATTTTATTGAGACTTTTCACATCTATATTTATCTGTGATATTGGTTTGTAGATTTCTTTTTAATTTTGTTATGTTTATAACTGGCTTTAGTAATGTTTATAACTGTGTCAGAGAGGGAATGGGACAAGGGCAATCAGAAATGACATAAAATTTTTCTAGCATTTTGAGTTTAGTTTTTCTTTTTTAGACATTTCCTTGGTTGCTGCAGCTTCTCAGCTTGTTCTAGAGTTCTCACAAAAACCACTTTTCTATATATATTGTGGGCTGTTTTGCTTTGTTTTTGTTTGTTTATCTTTTGGTGTTTCCATGGGGCAATGAGGGCCTGGATCTTCTTGGTCTACCATCTTGCTGATGTTACTCTTCAGTAGTATCTCCTCTTCTCATCAATATTTGTCTGTTTTTGTATCTTTTTTTTTTATAAGGTTGTGGTTCACCTTGAAACTATTCTAGGAGCCTCAGTTCAGCACATTAAACTGAAGAAAATGAAGTACTCTTTTCAGTTGTGGACCGCAATGATGTCAGCAAAGGGACATGATGGAAAGGTATGCTTGCTTCTTCCTTTCCTTACATTTTCTTTGTGTAAACAATTATTGAGCTTCTATTGTGGGCCATATGTTAGAAGTGTAGAGAAAAGAAACTCATGAGAAAAATAAGTAAATAGTAAAATATTTAAAGAAAGCACAGTTTGGTGAATGCTTTACTGGTATACGCATATATCGTTATGTATCACAGAGAGTTTGCCTACTCCTATATGGAAGTCAGTGAAGGCTTTTTGGTGGAGGAATTGCTGTCTCTCAAATCTTGAATGATTTGGAAGCCATAACCAGTTAGAGAAGAGATAAAGATTATGCCAGGCAATGAGGAAACCATGGCATGGACAAGGGCATAGGAGAATAAAGCTAATCTTAGTATGTTGTATGCTAGGTACTCAAAACATGTAGGTTTTAATAAAGCATAAAGTGACTAGGTAAATTCAGTTGTCAAGTGCCAGCTTTACCTTCCCCCTGAGATGTTTTAAAAATAAATGTACAGAGCTATCTGCCCATCTCCTGTTTATTTTTCCCTTCCTCTTCATATCTGTTATGATTAGAAGATGATACAGGTACTTGTAAAAGAAGCTTCCCTTAGGCCAGGTTTTTTTCAGGCATGCTTAAGACTTTAAATATGAACACTTTGAGAAATATGAGATAAATTCAAAATTCTGAAGAATTTAACTTTTGTGAATATAGGAATGTTTTATGCCAATGGGAATGTTTGTGTTAGAGCATCACATATCCAAATTCAAAGGGCAGGCTACCTCCTGGTTTTATTATCTTGTGCAAGCTACTTAGCGAATCTGCAGTTTACTCATTTGTAAAATTAATTTATTGACACCAATGTTACAGTTTAATTTTGTGGATTGAGAATATTTTTAATAAAGTGTCTCACATGCAGTAGCCCCTCCATAGGCAAAAATCACATGATCCCGTCTACCTTAAATAAAACAATCAGTCACTTTTTTACTTTTTCAAATAGCCAGTTTACTTTGTAGAAACACTGGAAATATCACAGACCAAAAAGTTTATAAAAATTCATAAAATGAGGATGTTTGGCTCTGACGTGAAAGTTTATAATCAGAACTTAAATCAAAATTAAAGCAAAAATCAAAAACAAAATGTTTATTTTGTTTGCTTCCAGAAGACACGCTCCTATAATTTGGATAAACCGTTAACATACATGCCAACTGTCAAAATTGGTTCCATAATATCAAATCTGAAAAAAAAGATAGAGGAGGGAAAAATCTGTTCCTATTTTGAATTATGACTACTGATTTAGAGATGATGGTAATACACAATTTACCATGTTCCTTATTAATAATCGCTTAAAATAGGTATACTGTATGATTAGTACTTGAAGTTTTTTTTTTTTTAATTTATTTTTATTTTTTATTTTATTATTATTTTTATTGCATTTTAGGTTTTGGGGTACATGTGAAGAACATGCAAGCTTGTTGCATATGTATACACGTAGCAGTGTGATTTGCTGCCTTCCTCTCCCTCACTTATATCTGTCATTTCTCCCCATGCCACAACCCCCAGCTCCCCACTCCCCGCTCTCCCCCCTGTTTCCCCCAACAGACCCCAGTGTGTAGTGCTCCCCTCCCTGTGTCATTGTGTTCTCATTGTTCAACACCTGCCTATGAGTGAGAACATGCGGTATTTAATCTTCTGCTCCTGTGTCAGTTTGCTGAGAATGATGGCTTCCAGGTTCATCCATGTCCCTACAAAGGACACGAACTCATCGTTTTTGATGGCTGTGTAATATTCCATGTTGTATATGTGCCAAATTTTCTCTGTCCAGTCTATCATCGGTGGGCATTTGGGTTGGTTCCAGGTCTTTGCTATTGTAAACTCTGCTGCAATGAACATTCCTGTGCATGTGTCCTTATAGTAGAATGATTTATAATCCTTTGGATATATACCCAGTAATGGGATTGCTGGGTCAAATGGAATTTCTATTTCTAGGTCCTTGAGGAATGGCCACACTGTCTTTCACAATGGTTGAACTAATTTACACTCCCACCAACAGTGTAAAACTGTTCCTATTTCTCCACATCCTCTCCAGCACCTGTTGTCTCCAGATTTTTTAATGATCGCCATTCTAACTGGCATGAGGTGGTTTCTCAATGTAGTTTTGATTTGCATTTCTCTAATGACCAGTGATGATGAGCATTTTTTCATATGTTTGTTGGCCTCATGTGTGTCTTCTTTTGTAAAGTGTCTGTTCATATCCTTTGCCCACTTTTGAATGGGCTTCTTTGTTTTTTTTCTTGTAAATCTGTTTTCGTTCTTTATAAATTCTGGATATCAGCCCTTTGTCAGATGGGTAAACTGCAAAAATTTTTTCCCAATCTGTTGGTTGCCGATTCACTCTAATGATTGTTTCTTTTGCTGTGCAGAAGCTGTGGAGTTTGATTAGGTCCCATTTGTCTATTTTGGCTTTTGTTGTTTTGGTCATGAAGTCCTTGCCTACACCTATGTCCTGAATGGTTTTGCCTAGATTTTCTTCTAGGGTTTTTATGGTGTTAGGTCTTATGTTTAAGTCTTTAATCCATCTGGAGTTAATTTTAGTGTAAGGTGTCAGGAAGGGGTCCAGTTTCTGCTTTCTGCACATGGCTAGCCAGTTTTCCCAACACTCTTTATTAAACAGGGAATCCTTTCCCCATTGCTTGTTTTTGTCAGGTTTGTCAAAGATCGGATGGTTGTAGATAAGCTGTGTTGCCTCCAAGGCCTCTGTTCTGTTCCATAGGTCTATATCTCTGTTTTGGTACCAGTACCATGCTGTTTTGATTACTGTAGCCTTGTAGTATAGTTTGAAGTCTGGTAGTGTGATGCCTCTTACTTTGTTCTTTTTGCTTAGAATTGACTTGGCTATGCAGACTCTCTTTTAGTTCCATATGAAGTTTAAGGTGTTTTCTTCCAATTCTGTGAAGAAGGTAATTGGTAGCTTGATGGGGATAGCATTGAATCTGTAAATTACTTTGTGCAGTATGGCCATTTTCACGATATTGATTTTTCCTAACCATGAACATGGAATGTTTATCCATGTGTTTGTGTCCTCTCTTATTTCGTTGAGCAGTGGTCTGTAGTTCTCCTTGAAAAGGTCCTTTGCGTTCCTTGTTAGTTGTATTTCTAGGTATTTTATTCTCTTTGTAGCAATTGCAAATGGCAGTTCACTCTTGATTTGGCTCTCTTTAAGTCCGTTATCGGTGTATAGGAATGCTTGTGATTTTTGCACATTTATTTTGTGTCCTGAGACTTTAATGAAGTTGCTTATCAGTCAGGAGACTTTGCACTGAGATGATGGGGTCTTCTAGATACACAATAATGACATCTGGAAATAGAGAGTATTTGACTTCCTCCTTTCCTATTTGAATGCCCTTTATTTCTTTATCTTGCCTGATTGCTCTGGCTAGAATTTCCAGTACTATATTGAATAGGAGTGGTGAGAGAGAGCATCCTTGTCTAGTGCCAGCTTTCAAAGGGAGTGCTTCCAGTTTTTGCCCATTCAGTATGATATTGGCTGTTGGTTTGTCACAAATAGCTTTTATTATTTTGAGATACGTTCCGTGAATACCTGGTTTATTGAGGGTTGTTAGCATAAAGGGCTGTTGAATATTTTCAAAGGCCTTCTCTGCATCAGTTGAGTTAATCATGTGGTGTTTGTCTTTGTTTCTGTTTATGTGGTGAATTACATTTATGGACTTGTGTATGTTGAATCAGCCTTGCATCCCTGGGATGAATCGTGCTTGATCATGCTGGATAAGGTTTTTGATGCGCTTTTGCAATCGGCTTGCCAGTATTTCATTGAAGATTTTTGCCTCTATGTTCCTCATGGATATTGGCCTGAAGTTTTCTTTTCTCGTTGAGTCTCTGCCCAGTTTTGATATCAGGATGATGTTGGTCTCATAAAATAATTTGGGAAGGAGTTCCTTTTTTTTGATTATTTGGGATAGTTTCAGAAAGAATGGTACCAGCTCCTCTTTGTATGTCTGGTAGAATTCGGCTGTGAACCAGTCTGGACCTGGGCTTTTTTTGGGTGGTAGGCTCTTAATTGCTGCCTCAACTTCAGACCTTGCTATTGGTCTATTCAGGGTTTTGACTTCTTTCTGGTTTAGGCTTGGGAGGAGGCAAGTGTCCAGGAATTTATCCATTTCTTCCAGGTTTACTAGTTTATGCGCATAGAGCTGTTTGTAATAGTCTCTGATGATGGTTTGAATTTCTGTGAAATCTGTGGTGATATCCACTTTATCGTTTTTTATTGCATCAATTTGGTTATTCTCTCTTTTCTTTTTTATTAATCTGGCTAGTGGTCTATTTTGTTGATCTTTTTGGAAAACCAGCTCCTGGATTTATTGATTTTTTGAAGGGTTTTTTGTGACTATCTGCTTCAGTTCTGCTTTACCCATTCGTTTGCTGATGGACACTTAGATTGATTTTACATCTTGGCTATTGTGAAAAATGCTGCAATAAACACATACATGAGTGCAAATATCTGTTTGATGCACTGATTTTCTTTTTTTTTAACTTTAATTTCTGGGATACATGTGCAGAACGTGCAGGTTTGCATACATGTGTCATAGTGGTTTGCTACACCCATCAAACCATCATCTACATTAGGTATTTCTCCTAATGCTATCCCTCCCCCAGCTCCCCACCTCCTGACAGGCCCTGGTGTGTGATGTTCCCCTCCCTGTGTCCATGTGTTCTCATTGTTTCATTGTTCAACCCCAACTTATGAGTGAGAACCCGTTGTGTTTGGTTTTCTGTTCCTTTGATAGTTTGCTGAGAATGATAGTTTCCAGCTTCATCCACTTCCCTGCATAGGACATGAACTCCTTTTTTTTAATGACTGCATAGTATTCCATGGCGTATATGTGACATATTTTCTTTATTCAATCTATCACTGATGGACATTTGGGTTGGTTCCAAGACTTTACTATTTTAAATAGTGCTGGAATAAACATATGTGTGCATGTGTCTTTATAGTAGAATAATTTGTA